TGTTTAGAGGACAGAGTGTGAAGGGGCTAAACTGACCTTTTGTTGCATGACTTCCATGCCTGGCTGCTGAGCTCAGCCACTCCCTGTTCTATGGAGGCAAAGTTCCTTCTTCAGAATAGATTTAACTGGAGCTGGTTTCAGTGAGAAGTTTAAAACTGACCCACCCTGGCTGTCCCCAAGGGGGATGAGGTGCCCTTGCCTTATTCCATAGCTGTTATAGCCAGAAAATAACTTCTGTGCTGAGTTAGCATCCTGTCAAATCCACGAGGATGTAGGGATGCTGCCCCTTTGCATGGCTGGCCACGTGAAGGGAAGCAATGATCAGCTCCCTCTTTAATTCTTCTCTGAATAAATGACACCACCCATGATACAGTGCTGCAGAAGGAAAAGGAGAAAGCTTGCTGGTGTACTCTGTATCTGTGGGGCCTATTCTCATCCCATGTTGCCTCCTGTCTCCAGGCAGAGCTCCCCTGAGCAGCATCCACCAGCTCCTTGGCCTTCTTTGAGAAGCAGCAAGCGTTGCCCAGTGTTCTCTGCTCAGCGTCTGCCCCTGAACCCCTTGCTGTGACAGCCAATGACTTCACTCCTATCTGCATGAAAACCATGGCTCAGTCTTAGTTCTGTAGTCCTGTCCTCCTTGCTGTGAATGCCATTGCCCCAGCCCTTGCTCAGCTGCACAATGCCACTGGCTCAGACTGTGACTCCAGCCTCTGGGGGACAGCACGGACTGCACACTCCATCTTCCCCTCCTCAAGCAAATGTTGTGGAGGGAACAAGCAATGTGAGGGTCCCGAGCTTGGCATACCTGCTCCATCAGCAGATCTAGCCAAGTGCAGAGGGGGAATGAGCTGCTCCCTGAGAATAGCTGCTGCAATCTCCCCTCTCCATCCCCAGAAAAGAGGAGCTGCAGTGATTGTGACTGCCTTCCCATGGCGCAGCTGCATTTTCTTTCCTGCAGGGCAAGCCGGGGCATTACAGCCTCAGCCAGTGGCAATAGGTATGTGCTCACCACACTGGGTGAGTAAAGGTGAAACTCCTAGAAGTATTTTCCCCCCACCAGTGTCAAGCACAGATAGGCAGAAGTGGTATTAGTACTCATTTCCAACACTAGTGTTGCTGATGGCTATAGCATGGCTGGACAGGGGTATTCAACAATGAAATGGTGTAATGGCCGGCTAGCTGCACCACTATATGGGATTGGGGCACAATTCAGAAGCAGTGCTGTGAACACATGTAATATTTGGCTGTACCATCATTCGAAAATAGTTGCCTTCCCAACTAGAGGGTCCAGGGAACAAGCCAAGACCCTGGGACTTGTCAGTGTGCATTGCCTATGAACAGACTACAATTCATGCAAGCTTGCTTGTTCTTTGCAGTCAGTCAGACACTATCTTTACTGAACAAACAGCATTGTCTGGGTGGTTTGAGAGCCACTCCCTGCTGTTTTTCTTTCAAGTTCTGAATATTTACCTGTATGAATGGTGTGATCGGCCAGCTAAGTCACATGGTGTGGTTCTGGTTTTCTAGCTAAATGATCTGTCTATTAGAAGCTCTTCCACCTTTGCTGAGGCAAATTATTGATTTGCAATTGAACAAATCCTGGTCGAGGGGCTGAAACTTCTCTTTCTGGAAACAATCAAGTCGGCAACTCTTTGCTCTCACAGTTGCTATTACATGTCACGTAAGTGCTATCACCTTGCTAGCTAGCTTCCAAGGTACTCTGCAGGAGTCATTCTTACTTAGGCTTAGTCCTTCAGGGAGACTTCTGTCCAATGCAGGATAAAGAAAGCCTACCAAGCCCTCCTCTGCCTTCCTTTCCCTCAGGCTTGACTGTTGTTTTTTTTTCCTTTTCCCTGCAGAGCTCGCTGTGGCACAATGCACACAACGCCCTGTTGACATTGTTTTCCTGCTGGACGGCTCTGAAAGAGTTGGAGGAGCAAACTTCCAGAAGTCCCACATCTTTGTGGAGGATGTGGCCCGGCGCCTCACACTGGCCAGGAGTGACAATGACAACCTGAATGCGCGGCTCGCCCTCCAGCAGTATGGCAGTGAGACCCAACAGCAAGTGATCTTCCCTTTGACATACAACCTGACTGACATCTCAGATGCTCTGGCTGGCATCAGGTACATGGATTCCTCTTCCAACATTGGGTCTGCCATCATCCATGCCATCAACAACATTGTCAACAACCCAGTGGACAGGCAGAGGGTCGCCCGGCGCAATGCTGAGCTCTCCTTCATCTTCATTACCGACGGCATCACAGGAACCAAGAACCTCGAGGAGGCCATCGACTCCATGAAGAAGCATAATGTCATGCCCACAGTGGTGGCCATTGGCAGTGATGTGGACATGGATGTCCTGCTCAAGATTGGCCTTGGGGATTGGGCAGCCATATTCCGGGAGAAGGACTATGCCAGCCTCTCCCAGCCCGGCTTCTTTGACAGGTTCATTAGGTGGATATGTTAGTTAAGGGGAAAACATATGTTCTCCTCTCATCAATACACACCCCAAGATATTATTTGTTTTGTTTTGTTTCCTTACCTTTGTATGTCTGTTAGCAAAACTCCACGCAGGCCTAAAGCAGTTCATACAAAACTGCCCTCTGGATTCCAGTGTTTTTTTAACTGCAAGTTGAAGCTGATATTAATTTTCACGAAGAACAATGATCTATCTCACATTTATGGTGCTAATTAAAACCGAGCTCAAAGGATACAGAGCCATACAATATAATTTGTAATGCCTTAAGCAAACTAAATAATGCCTTTGTGTATGTACTGTAATCCCATGGGTGCTAAACAGAGGAACAGCAAAGCTCTCAAATTCAGCCGGATGAGTGATAATTTCTAATGTCCAGGAATTTATCCAACCTTCCCCACCTTGCCAAACATTTATTGGTGGAGCTTCATGCCTCCACGTCCACATCAAGGTCATTGCATCTGAGCTCTTGCTGCATCCGAGCTCTTGGTGCAGATGACTCGTAACTCCAGAAACCTAGCCCAACGGCCTCTAAGCTGGTCTGTGCACTGAGCTTGGACCTCAGGTTTATTGACTGTCAAAGGCAGCAAGAAAAAAATAATTCCCAAGGCTTTGTCAAGTTCTGTTGGGGAGCGCCCTCCCTTCTTTCTTCTCATCTCCATACTCCTGCCGTCCATAGAGGGATATCAGGGGTAGATTGTCTCTGACACACCATGCTGCATCCTGATGTGGCCCACAAAGTACACTTCCATTTGCCTTGTCCTTGGCCTGCCTGTTTTTTTCCCCAGTAGTGATGAGCTGGGCTAACCTAGCTTGGGGTTTTAACCATGTCTCATGCAGATGTTGCCAGATGCCCATTTGAAGGCTGTATCTACTTTTAATTTCACTGGCCTCCTTATGTATCCTTATGTTTCTATGGACTATCCTTTCCTTGCTTCCTTCTGCTTCCATCACCCAGCCTCATAAGAACCTGTGTATTTAATCCTTGCTGTGAGGTACAGCCTACATCCCAGCTTGAGGTATCAAGCCAGGTGACTCGATGCTGTCTGCACTAGATCACACTTGCAAGTGAAACAAGGAAATTGCACCTGAGTGCATTCTTGAAATTGGCATCTCCTGAACAGCATCCTGATAAGAACCTCAGTCGTGTTCTTTAAGAAATAAATAAATAAACTCTTCTTTCTTCCTACCCTATAAACATATTGTCCATTATTTAAGGGGAAGGGGGACAGTGGTGGGTGTTTTAAAATGAAGGCCAGATATCCCCAGCTAGTGTCAATAAGTGCATCTCCATGGTACACAGTGGGCCACACTCCAGTTGGTATTAACTAGACATCTCCACTGAAGAAAATAAACTGAAGCCCTCAGTTGGTGTGAGTGGGCAGATGCACCACCACAAAAACCAGTGGACCACACCCACCAGAAATGCAAGTCATCTGTAGCTCCCCTGATGTCCTAGGCTCCTTTAACACCTGACTCTGGACCCAATGGCAATGGGAGCCTGAGGCTATTTTGAAGCCTCAGTTCCATAGGAAAATCACTACTGGGAATGAAAAGTTTTTTTTCCTGATATTTCCTACCAACTGCAGAACATTATTTTTGATTGGACACAAAGAAGGGAGGCAAAGGCTGCATCTCAACACTGTGCTAAGCTACCTACAGGACACTATAGATATAAGTAAGGGGAGAGAACCATAAAGACCAGCTGGGCCATTCCAGAGCATGCCCTGTACCCCCCACCCCCACCCAACATACAAAACTCCATAATTTCCAGAGAACTCACAGTTACCCATTGGAGTTCACTAACCATGTGCTCTGCTCTATCGCTGCAACACTCTCGCAGGTTGCCACCTTTACAGAATCACAGCGAGAGAACAAAAGGGTCTTGTTCTCTTGCAAGCCAGTAGCTGAGACTATGTTTACAGATTTATCAGGAACCCCTGGCAAGAGAGCAAAGAGCTCTTGCCAGCAAAGTGGCCTGACCTGAAATTTTTGGCAGGCAAGGGGATTGCTCCAGCGACTAAGACTCAAGTTTTCCAGGACTGGCTCGTAGGTACATTTGGAGATTCCTACAAACAGAACAGGGTGCCAGTATTTGTTACTGCTAGATACAGTACTGTGTTGTACATGCTAATATAGGGCTGAGCCGAATGGGCAAGGAGGACCTCGTGAGAGGCTGAGGAAAGATCCCACACTTCTAATATTGTAACCATGATGGTAAAGTCTACAGCTGTCTTAGAAGGATAAAAATTAGGCCTTTCACCCCTAATAATTACATACCATGGTCTAGTCATACACCATGGGAGGACATATGATAGAGAAATGACTCCATTCTGTTCCAAACAGCCAACCTCCTGTACTGGAGCTGAAGAATCACATTGTACGCAGCCTGCCAGCAGGGTCAGTAATTCTCATCAGCCATGAACAAAGGAGTTCATGTTTCCATGTAAGCTACCCAGTCACACAGTTCAGCAGAGCGCATTGTTGTACAAGGTTCACACACAAGACAGTCAATGGCCATCCATTCACAACCAGAACTTTTAATCATTACATTGTTATCTGTGGTCCCTCTGAATCTCAGCAGGGATTAGAGAATGAAACCCTCTAAGACTGAGAATTTTCTTTAAAGACACAGTTGAAAACTTCAGTTCAGGATCCTAAAATGTGTCCAGCCAGAAATGTCAGAGGCCAGAAACAGGAAATTGCTACACACCAGGTTACACAAAATTCATTCTGAAGAGGGTGGAAAGGGGAATAGAAGAATGGATTGGTAGAATAACAGAGATTCTTAAATTAGATTCTTCTTTTGTTGCATCACCCATCTCAATCCAGGCTGGGAGGAGAGGTCTTCTTTAATCAGAATCAGAACTGCTGCTGCTGCTTGATCCACTGCTTTTCTGTAGGAAACATGGATTGAAGCCTATTAGGATATCATCAAAACACCCCTATCCCACGTATACAGGGATGTTGGTTGTAGCCGTATTGGTCTAAAGACATAGATCAACAAGGTTCTTTGACCAACTTTAAACTTACTTGGTCTAATAAGAGATATCACATTTACTCGAAGAACCTTGTCTGCCTTTCCCACACATATTCATTCATAGGCATAAATGATCCCACAGCTCACTGCAGAAGGAGATGGGGATTAGCTCTGTAGGCTTGGTTAATTATATCTAGCTATAGAAAGCTCCTTTTCTAGGGTTCATCATGCAGGCCATCCTACACTGCCTATCCTAAGCTGCAGAACTGTGTTATGATTCCCGAGAGGGACACCTAGAGGTCAAGGTGTGATAACTGCAATTTGCAGTCCCCTTAGAACAGGGTGTGAACTCCTGCCTTTGAAGCTACAGCAAGACACCTTCATTGCTCTGCTACAACTCTCCTAGATACAAAGTAGCATGTCTGGCTGTACTCTAACATGGCTCTAATTCACTTGTGTATAACCGCTTCAAAAGATGGACTCTAAAGCCACATCTACACAGCATCGACTAGTTCTGGGGAGCACTGCCATGGAGACCTGTCCCACCTAGTCGCTCGCACTCTGTGAATGCCCCATTCCAAAACCATGTCACAGTCTGAGTTTTCCTGAGATAGAGAAACTGAGAGGTGCTGCTGGGCACATGCCAGAAAGTAGCTACATGACATTTTTCTGGCATGTAGCCAGCACGGAGCAGGAGTCAGCAGGAGGCTGGGTTTGATAAAAGTGCTCCAGAACACTGTCTGGTTAAGGTGTAGACAAGACCTAAGGTCCCAGCCTGGCAAAAATGTGCAAGCCTGTTTAAAAACAGGCATATAATTAGCAACAGTGATTGCTACTGGATTGCTTCTCTGCTAAAGACTAAGCATGTTCTGTGCAGAATCAAGGCCTAAAGCAGAGAAATAATCTGATTATTGTTCTGTAAGAAAGGAAACCATAACATTGGTGTAAAAGGACTAATAGAACTAAAAGAATTTATTTATATAATGCTAGGTTGACCCATTACAAACATGCCTGCCTCGACTGAATTTTTTTAGATCATTGACATGATAATTGGGAAAATGAATAAGCATATTTTAGTTGCTTGGTTTATTAAGATGTTTGAGCTAACTAAAGACAGTGAGGGAAGTTTCTGCTACAATATATATTTGGGAATATGTGATAGGGGCTGTTAATTGCCTGTTGCAAATGTATAACAAACTAGATTGCAAAGTGAGAACCCATTCGGTGAACAGTCAACCAACCAACTAGGGTGTCTCCTCAAAGAATGAGACACTGGGTACAAGATACTGGTTGGGTTTGGAAGTGTTCTTTATCTTGAAAAAATGTTTGTGTTTGTATTTGTGTTTTGCAAGTCCTGAAGGTATGAGCTAGAAATGGAACATTTCCTAGCCAAAAGGCTTTGGCATCTGTGGGCTTGTGGGTCTTGCACTGCCTTCCAACTCAGAGTTCAGGCCCTTAAGCACATCCCCGTCTGCAGCCTCCCTCCCCAGGCCCCAGGATCACTGGCTCCTTACCTTGCCTCCATGTCCATGGGAATGCTTCTTTTGCTTTTTCTTATGCTTTTTATGATGCCCATGATGACCACCCGAGGGACAATAACCAGGAGGAACGGGCTGACATCCTGGTCCCCCAGGCATCATGCCTTGGGGTCCATGAGGGTGGTGTCCATGTGGGTGGTGTCCATGAGGATGGGGGTGGGGTCCACCAGGCCCAGGATGCATGCCTGGGGGTCCACAAGGTGGAGGAGGGTAGCCAGAACCAGGATAGCCTGGGACTGGGCATGCTGGCATGCCAGGCCCTGGATAAGGGCCAGGATATGATCCAGGAGGAGTGGGGTAAGGCTGCATGTTGGGTGGTGGCATCCCACCAGGGGTTCCTGCCAGAAAAATGGGGAAAAAAAATGAAGAACATGAGAGAGCCAGACACCTTCACCCCTTTCCTCTGGCAGCATCTCCGCAATGCAATGAGAACTCCATGCAGCATTTCCCTAGCGCTGGACAGCAGGGTCCTCTAGCACAGGCAAGCTCTTCCCAGTGCACAGTGCCCCTTAGAAACAACCTAAGGGGACCTGGTTCCTCCTGTGCTCCCCTGAGCCCATACAGAAGTCTCTGCCTTGTTGGGAATAAAAGCACTGTGTGATTCTCAGAGACAGCAAAGAACTGTGACCCTGAGCTTTCTAATGAACCTGCCTAATGAACAGCAAGGAACAATAATGCAGTTAATGCTGCAATCACTTAGGGCCAAACTGGCCCACACCACCACGTGTTAATAGGTGCACTGTTCCCAGTCTCAGTAGGCCTGCCTGCTCCTTACAGATTGAGCCCAGAAGCAGATTGGAGAACCTCATCCTTGACTATTAAGCCTTGAAGGTTAAAAACACTTTCACTTAATCATGAAATAGCCTGATGCTGCAGTCCTTACCCAGGCATGTCTCCCTGTGATAGCCATTTCTGGCCCAGAGGTCAACGTTTATTTTGCCCCCCCACCACCACCACCACTTTAAACCAAACCCAGAGCTAGGGAGAACTTGGCCTGTGGTGCAGACCTTCCCAGGTACCACGTCCCCAGCTCAGACAGGGCCTCACCTGCATTAGGATTCCACATTCCAGATGCGTCCAGCACCACTCACCTGTGAAGCAAAGATACACAGGGTTAGAAATTTTCTCTTCTCAGCTCTCCGTAGGTCCCCATTTATCCACCTCAAGCACTTGGAGAAGGTCTCTGCCCCAGCAAAGCAAACTCACTGGAGATCTCTGTCATCCAGGAGGCAGACACAGCATTGCCCATCATGCAGCCTGCTTCTCCATGGACTAAGACAGTGCATCGCTTTCAGGATGTTTTTGTAGTTTCATTCACACATGGGAAGGCATTAGTGTGACCAGCCACCATCACCTGCCACTCACACGACAGCCCCTGTGGCCCATGCTGCTCCTATCACAAACTGTTCTCCCCTTTGTACCCCACAATGGGACCTCCCTATAGAACTGGGAAGAGCAGCCATGGAGGCTTCTCCCGTGCTCCCCCCTCCCTGGCCCCAGCCTATCCCCCTGTTTCCTCCTCCTCTTGGACACCTCAGGCAGATGAGAGCTCTCCCTTGGAACCAGCTCCAGCACATCCTCCAGGCAGGCAGGAGATGGCAGCTCATACCAGCTTCTCCCAGGTGCACAAAGAGGAGGGGTGCTGCTTCTGTGGCTTTGCATGCATATACATAAATGCACACACACACACACACACAGGCCCTTCTCATCCCCTTCCCCCTCCTAGATTTGAGTCCCTACTCTGCCAGGGGCCAGCTGTGTGCCCCAAAGCACTTCTCTGACACATTGTTTCTAACATTATCATTATCATCATTACTGGAGGGACCTGATTGCAGTTGGCATCTCTAGGCAGTGGAATAACCAGGGTGGGGTACACCAGGGCAGATGCCTGGGCACTGATTTGGGGTAAGCATGTGGAAAAAAAATAGTTGCCACCACAGCTGGACAATCACAATTGCAGCAGCAGTGGCAACTGGAGGGTGTGTGGCAGATGCCCCCAGTGCCCTGCCATGGTATGCCTCTGTTTCTTGGGCATCGTTTCATAGTAGCTAGGGTCAGGTGGGACCTGAACAGATCATCTAGCCTGCCCCCCTGCCACAGGCAGGAATGAATGCTGGGTTCACAAGACCCCAGACAGGTGATTGTTCAACCTCCTCTTGAATTTGCCCAAGGTAGGGGCGAGGACCACTTCCCTGGGAAGTTGGTCCCAGATTTTGGCCACCCTAACTGTAAAATATTGCCTTCTGATCTCTAACCTATACCTATTCTCTATCAGTTTATTACCATTGTTCCTCGTCACCCCAGGTGGTGCTGGGGAGAAAAGGGCTCTACCTATTTGATGTTGATCTCCCCTGATGAGTTTGTAGGCAGCCACCAGGTTCCCCCTCAGCCTCCTCTTGCCGAGGCTGAACAGGTTCAGGTCCCTCAGTCTCTCCTCATAGGACCTGTCCCGCTGCCCGCTCACCAAGAGGGTGGCTCTCCTCTGAACCCACTCCAGGCTGGCCACATCCCTTTTAAAGTGCGGTGCCCGGTACTGGACGCAGTACTCCAACTGAGGCCTGACCAAAGTTGCGTAGAGGGGGAGGATCACCTCTCTGGACCAGCTTGAGATGCATCTTTGGGGAACTCCCCAGCCTGTATGTATGCTGTGGATTCCTTCTCCCAAGGTGCAGCACCCTGCATTTGTCTACGTTGAACTCCATCCAGTTCTCATCTGCCCACTTTTGTAGTCTGTCTAAATCTAGTTGCAGCCTCTCTCTCTCTTCAAGTGTGTCCACATCTTAGTGGACACAGCAAACTTGGACAACGTGCTTTCAACCCCCTTGTCCAAGTCACTGATGAAGATGTTAAACAGTGCAGGCCCGAGGACCAAGCCCTGGGGAACTCTACTGCTCACATCTCACCAGGTTGAATACGACCCGTCCACCACTACTCTCTGGGTGCACCCCATCAGCCAATTTTTTACCCATCCAACTGTGTAGGCATCAATGCCACAGTCGCTTAATTTATTGATGAGGATGGGGTGAGAGACAGTGCCAAAGGCCTTCTTAAAGTCTAGAAAGACTACGTCCACGGCGACACCATCATCCAAGGATTTAGTTACCTGGTCATAAAAGTGAATCAGGTTAGTCAGGCAGGACCTGCCTTTGATGAACCCATGCTGGTTGCCCCCGAGCATGATCTCCCCTGCTGGCCCCCCACAAATGTGATCCTTGATGATTCTCTTCAAGATCTTCCCGAGCACCGTGGTGAGTCTTATGGGCCTATAGTTACTTGGGTCCTTCTTTCTCCCTTTCTTGAAAATTGGGACCACATTAGCCAGTTTCCAATCCCCCGGCACCTGGCCAGATGATCACAAATGCTCATACAGCCGGGCCAAGGGCTACGCAATGACCCCTGCCAGCTCTTTTGATACATGTCCCAGTAAACATAACCACCCAACGCTGGCCGGGAAGGTCTTTCCCATGGCCTCAGCATGAAACCAAGTCAGGGGTCTCAGGTCAGGAAAGAATTTTTCCCCCAGGTCAGACTGGCAAGGACTATGGGGGTTTTAGTCTTCCTCTGTAGCAGGACCTGACTTTCTTCCCAATTCCCTGGGCATAAAATTTCCTGCTCTTACAATGTCTGTGCCCTTTCCCTTGTTCTTCACCTACAACAGGTGGTGGGGGATTTTGTGTCTCCTTTTTTAGCTCAGAGTACCTTTGTGGCTGAGAGGAGCCCGGAGTGAAGAGCATGTGGGCCTATTCAGACAAAAGGTTGCCCGCAAATGTGGAGAACTGGCTTTGATGGCCCAGGAGCACAATAGAGACCAACCTGCTGCTATTGGCCTCAAAGGACAAGCTTTCTCTAACTTCCAGCAAGACAGAACAAGATTAGTCCAAAGGCACCAGCACGGCCGGGGAGTGTTGTGTTACCACCCATTCAGCACCACGTTCACTGCAGGCAGCCTGTTTGTTTTCCTTATCTACCTGCTTGAATGATCAATTGCCCTTGCTCTGACTATTGGGCGCCAGTACCAGCTGTGGCATGGGCACTGCACAACTTTATCTCATGCATGTAGCACACAGCTGCAAATGGCCCATGAGCTGGCACAGAGGAGAAAGCAACACCTGCCTCCCAGTGCTGCTCTACAGCACACTGTAGCACGCCCTCCCCTCCACTCCCCATTGCCAGACAATCACCTTCCTTTCCACAGCTATTCATTCAGGCCTAGAGCAGGGACTCAGGCACCGTATGGAGCAAGTACTGCCCCACCTAGGAGCAGCCCCAAGAGGTGCTGTTGCCCAGCTAATCAGCTGTCACAGCCCAGTCCTGCTTCCACCTTGCTCCTGGAGTTATTTACTCTGACACTGGCCAACAACTAACTCCCCCTCACCCCCACGCTGGCTCAGCTCCTTTAGAAAAGAAGGGCAATGCCTGAAGGCAAGTTGGCTGGGATGAAAGGCAACTAGCTATTCCACTAATGAACCAGGTTTTAACAAAACAATTAAATCCTAATTAAAAATGGGTTTCCCTCAGGGATTATTGCTGCTCTGCTCTGTGTAAGAGTGGCACAATGAACATGTTTAGAGAACAAGGCTCTTCTCTTTCACTCTAAACCCAGCTGGGCTGAACCCATTCCTGATGCAGTTGCACTAATTCCTTTTGGCCTGATGTGTTTGGGATCAGCAGCATTCTGTGTATTGGGTCATAAACAGGCATCGCGTCATTTAATCCTGTCCATAAGATGATCAAGTTCCATCTTGAAAGCAGCCAGGGTTTTGCCTTCCCTACTCTGTTGGGAGGCTGCTCGGGCACCTCACCGCTCTGGTAGCTAGAACCTTCTGATGTCCAAGTCATGGCCAATCTAGACTCATTTCATCTCCAGAAACCATTCATCTTTTACTTAAACAGCTGTTTCTCCTTCCCTTCTTTGCACCTGCCCCAGCTCAAAGTCATCATTCTTAAATAGTGCACTGCCCACAACTGTATCCTATATTTGAAATCAGGCTAACTCTCAATGGGAAGTGCCTTACCTAATACATCAATGGATTAATAACTTTTGGTATTTGGCAAATTCCATTAACACACACCTATTTTCTGTGTCAAGGTCATCATTAAAACATATTGAATAAGATCAGGCCCAACTCAGTCTTTAAACAAACTGTAAAATTGTTGTAAAGTGACACAGATCAGGAGATATTCCAGTGTATTTAGCTCCTGCATCACATAAACAACTCAGATACAGCCTGAGGAAGGGCACTGGATGCTTGAAAGCTCAGCCAACAGCTCTCCCAACTATATAACTGATCCAGCAAAAGATATCACACAGAATCCTTGCCCTTCATACATATTTTTACAGTGAGCCACTTCACTAGGCATAAGCACATTACAGAACAGGGCAGTCTTTCTGCAAAAGCCTTTCTGAAGTCCAAAGCACCAGCATTACTCTCAGCAATCTAACCATATAGCCACCTTAGGTTGAAATCACAATGTTTATCCTGACAGGAAAGCAGCAGTGCTGGTGTTTCATGTGGTATTCTTGGCTTGCCTAGTGATCAGCCAAAAACAGCACTTCGTTGGGCAAGAATGCACCCTGAAAATGCAGACTCCTGCCCTCAAGAGCTTATTATCTAAACAGACAAGATAGGGTTAGGTAGGAGAGCCCTTTGGTGGGAACATCTATGCAAAATGAAGAAGGTGATGGTACCAGTTCCACCATTTCACTTTGCTCTTAGAGTCAAAAGAAGAATGAAGCTCTTTTTTATTCCAACACCAGAGGCACCTCTCAGGATGCCGTTTAACTGTCATATTCCCAAGTCAAACTATAGACAAAATTTGCCCTTTATTAATCTTATTTGTCTGAATATAAATACAAATAAGATTACAAAAGCCAAATTTTGTCTATAGTAAAGAGCAATTTTTGTCTATATGTCTGTACTTATTAAAGTCATATTTGTAATTATATATTCAAAGTCATATTATATATTATATATTCAAATTAATATATAGAGAGATTTATCTCTCCCTGTGTCTCTGCCACTCTCTCTCTCTCTCATATATATAATATGAATTTAACAAGTACAGACATCTATATCCCCCTCCCCCTCAGATACCCACAAATATATATTCTCATTGTTATGAAGGAAAGTTGGGTGAGAAGCAAAATTAATTAAAAGCTTGGAAACATATGCTAGGTAATAGAAAACCATCTACAACACCAGCACTTGGAGCTTACATACCTGGTGGTCCCTGTAGCTGCTCGTCCAAAATAAGCTAAAATCTCAGCACTGAATAAACTGCACGTCTTTTAAACACAACACCTGCCCCAGTCGTGCTTTGGTAGCCAGTCAGGTAGTAGAAAGTGCTGTGACCAAGAGAAGCTGTGGGCAGGGTTATTCCATAAAGCTGTGTAACTGGCTTTTCACCTCTTTCCTTGCTTGTTGCCAGGTACTGTAACCATGAGAGTGTATGATATTGTCAATACTCCCCACCCAGGTGAAGTACGAAGGTCATTTTTGACTGATTACAGCTTGGCCAGAGGCTGGATGTAGGGTGTTGCTTGCATTTATACTCCAAAGTCAGCAGCGATAAAATGATCAGCTGATCGGAATGCGTCAGACAGCATCTACCCAGACTTTGTCATGGCTTGATTCTGCTCCCCCGCTAGTATCAGTGCAAACTCCTCAGTGCAAGCCTCCTCTGGGAGTTGGATTATGTAGGGGGGGTTAAGTGTGTACCACACCTCTGTGGTAGGATAAAGCAACATCAACCATGTGGAAATAAGAGATATGGGCTTCCCTAGGAGTCTGAAAGGAAGAAAACTGACTTCAAAGTAAACTTTTGTGAGAACTCTGTTGGGGTATGACTAGGAAATTCCATACACCTTCTATTCTTTGCTTCTACAATGGCCCCAAGAGGCTGTTCTAGTTTCTATCTGAGGCCAGGCCAAGAACAGCAGCACAAAAATGGGATAGCACCCACGTTCTCCCCTCATTCCTAGCCTCAACTCAGCTTTGGCAGAACAAAGCCCTGACCCCCACATCCTTCAGGCCAGCTCCCGCTTTGTGTAGACACGTCCTTTGTATCAAAGCACCAACTCTGGCCTGGAAAAGGAGGGTCTAGAGCATTTTAGTGCCCAGAATAGGGCACTTGGTGCCTCCCCTCCTCCTACATATGCTTCCCTCCATGGTGGGGTAGTTGGGTTTAGCAAGAAGGAGGCCACCCACTGTCCTCTCCTTGCCAGGACCCTCTCCTTCCCTGCAGACTAGAACTAGCAGTAGCTGGGAGCTGAAACAGGAAAGCACAGGGGGGATTTGGGACTAGAATTAATTAAGGAGAATGTTGTTTGGGGAGCTAGCTGCTCCACTGCACCTGTCAGCTGTGAGAACCCCTGCCACAGGGCCAGAGACACCACACTGCTAGAGCCCCAGCATGTTGGTAACACCTGGGGATGGGCCCACGTGCTGGGGTTGGAAGAGACAGGAGAAGGGGAGGTGTAGGAGGAGTCGGATGCTTGGACAGGGGTGTGTAGTGTTGCCAATTGTACATTGTGTTATTTTAGAAGGAAATGTGTAGCTTTAGTGAGGAAAGCACATGGTTTCTTTACACATTTGAGAGAGGCAGACGGGATTACAGCTACTCAGGGGTGTGGAATACAACTACTGCCCTGGGAGAATTGGCTTCATGGCAGAGCACAGGCAAAGAGTCAGTGATGGTAGATCAATCCCATGTGTTGCATGGCTCATAAATCCATTTGTGTGTCAGTGCCAGGAAAATTATTACAAGGGGAAAACAATGCTTTAAGAGCATTTCAGCTAAGTGCATCTCCTGGAATGAGTGCAAGGTAATCCAACTGAGCCGTGAAGCCAACCAGAGATGTTTCTTGTGTCACCACAGCTTTTATAAAACTCACTTGAACTTGTGCTGGATGTAGGGTAATATACTGTCCCTCTGATATTCAGTCTGGGAGAGGCACCACTGGAAATGCATTGGTAGCTCATATAGGAGCCGATGTGCTCTGTCCTATCCATCTGATTGGCTTCTAGCCAAATAACAGCTGGGTAATACATGCTAAGGGTCTTGTTACACAGTAATTTTAGGTGGCTTCTGGAGCTCTGAGCTCCTAGACTGGCTGCACACTAACACCTTAAAGTACTCACTGTTGGTTTAACGTTATGCTGCTCCAAGGCAGGATTATCTCTACTTCACCTAATGTTGCTCCTGTTCCATTAATTTGTGGCCACTCTCCATAGCTTTTCCACTCAAGTTGAAGCCCTCCAGCATCCAGGAGGCAGAGGGTGAGGAGGAACACTGGGGCACAGTGGGGCTGGGCACAGTATCTCATCTCCTGGGGACATCTGGCAGAGCACACACCATGGTCACTGGAGCGCCTGGTGGCCATGGTACCACCCACACCAGTTCTGCTCCGTTAGGAGCAGACTGAGCCAGTCTGAGCCAGGGGGTGGGGGGAGCTGGCTGCTGAACTGCACCCGGTCCTGATCCTAGCTCCCACTCCTGCCCCTGCTCACCAAGCCTCTAGCTGCAAGTCATATCTGGGCAAGTGAGGGGCAGTCAGATCAGGTTTTTTGCTTTACTGTGTAACCGCTCCACTAAGCCAAATGGCACTAAGCTGATTAACATTTGTTCGGCTTATAGAATAAGGTCAGACAAGGCCCTTAGGTCTATTATTTGCTAACACCCTGACACCTAATGTCCCTACAGCAGAACCCACCCTTTTGTTACTAAGAGTGAATTATTATGCTAACCCATATCACAAAACAATCTGTTATCTGATTGTGGGGGGAGGAGGTGGTGATTTAAACTGATTTGTCTTTCACATGCAGGACTTTCAAACACCCTACCGGTCAGATGATGGCTCAGCATTGGCTCCAAGACCATCCCAAGACACTGACATGCAAAATCACTCCTGCCTGACCTGCAGGAGTTCACAGGGGCCAGCTGGGGAGGACAACTTTCCATAAAACTGTGCGCGTCTTCAGAAGGTTACTATCACCATTGTTATCATCCTATTGCTTATAAAGCCCATGAATCATAATAGCTAAGGCAATGAACATACAGCCTGATAATCCTCCCCATCTATTCCTTCCTCAAAAAATCCCTTTCTGGCTGAAATTTTATCAGAGGAAACATTCAAGGGAAGATGCCTGATATTTGATAGGACAGCTTTGGGAGAGGAGGAGGATTTTCACTCTTAGTGGTGTGTCCCTGAAACCTCTCTCAGAAATAGTGGGGTGCTGAATGTGTTTGTCCTCCACGAGAGTTTGCACCTTGGGCTGCCTAGAAAAGAATGACTGGGCAGAATTACTCCCTCCAGAAGGTTTTCTTGACAGATGGGGAGAGTACACAATGTTTTCCTTCCAAACTCTAGCCCTTGGGCAGGGGTTTTCCACCCATGAAACAGGCTGCAGAGCCTGCCTAGTGGTTTCTAGGACCTTCATGGAATAAAGAGGGAGCTTAGGCCATCTTTGGAAGGATTGGCCCCAGTAGTTTCTTGCTTCATGGCAGCAGTGCTCCACTGAAGTTTTCCTGCTGGGGCTTCCCCAACCGAAAAATCTCCAATAGAGACTTGATTGCCAGAAGATCTTATTCATGGTGGCATCACTTGCACTGAGTGTACTGAAACATCCAAACCTGCATGTCAAGACACCTACTTCCAGCCCCAAAGCTTCTGCTAGGGCACTGGAGGAACCTGTGTGTCTCTGTAATTGTGCATGAAATCATGTATCCTCACCAGAAGCCAGACATGTATGGTTTAAAGAAATAAGATTGTTCTCCCAGAGTCCAGTCATTCCCATTGCTGCAATTCTCTTACCCTCTAAATTGCCTGCTGGAAATAAAGGGCATGATAGACCCTAACAGGCAGGAGGGGAAAGCGGTGTCTCCATTACATAATGCCAACTGCTCTTGGAAACTATGACTTCCCACTTTGGGAGTCTAAGAAGAACACATAAAAAGTTACTCTGTGCTTTCTAAAAAGTGGCAGCAATTCCCCCTGAAGGTAGAGCTGGAACAGCCAAGACAGCGCAGCTCCCAAGACACAGACAGTACCAAAAACTGGCAAGCCAGGCAATAGGCAGGCAAAATGTGCCCCATTAGGCACCTCAGGGTGATTTGAGCTCTCCATCAACCTCCCAGGCAGCCAAGCCCCTCTTCTCTATGGCTGATACATCTGCTCTTGTAGGAGATGATGGATTTTGATGCCGCAAGCACTGACCCAGGAGTTTTGTGCACCTGCCACAGGTTAATGTGTGCAGGGTAAAGGTAAGACAGCCCATAACCCTAGGGGTTGGTTGCATCAGGAAGAGTCTCATTGTGGAGTCTGTCTCACCAGAGATGACATCTGTTGGAACACAAGACAACACAGGAAATGTGACCATTTCACATTTGTATTCTCTGAAATTTAGCCCACCGAAGCCAGGATTCAAGTCTGGCATCTCCCATAGTGAGTATTCTCCTTCATGCTCCCCGGCTCTCGAGCAGTCTCAGCACAAATGCAGCACTACTCTTGGCCTCTTCCAAGAAACTGGAAACTTTTCCATACATCTGTGCACATGAAAGAAAAGTCCATTGTTAGCCTCATCAATGACCACAAAACCATGCTTCTTCACTGCGCTATGCCACAGGACCTCTCCTCTCTCTGGCATGGTGTACAATCAGCTGTGTGCAGCACCCATTTCTGACTGGCTGACTCAAGACATTGGCTTCCAGACCACGTTCCTGCTAGGTCACTTGCATTATGTGGGCGTGGTTCCAAGCCAGTTTCATTGCCAGAGCCTGCAGGACACTCCCAGCCTCAGAAACAAAAGAGCACACTGCAAATCAAGGTCTACTCAGTCACTGCTATGTTAACTGCCTGGCATCAGGCCACAGGCCACAGCCCATAGCAGGTGTAGTTGATACTGAATATGGGTTCCATTGAAACTAATGCTTTGTGTTTTTTGACAAACCCAGCAGTGATGTGACTTGCATGTGGTGTAAACATGGCAAAATGGATTAAAATAAAAACAGAGATTAATGTAACTTGCATGGATGTGGCTTTTAGTGAGTGCACATACCCCATCTAACTTCTCCCCATCTAATCTCTGAGTGAAGCATAGCATGAAACCCCATTTATGGTCAGTGCGGATAAAGCCATGCTCTCTCATACCTTTGTTATGACTCTACCTAATGCTCATTCTTCAGCACTGTCTTCCTTTCACAGGCTTTTGGCTTATGATCATTCCATCACAACTCTTCACGAACACCTAATGACTTAGGAGCCTGTGCTGACCTTCCAGATTTTGGAACACATGCCTTGCCAGAACCTCTTGGGGCACTGAGTCCAGTCCCCTGCTATCACAGGCTCCATATTACACAAGACTGTTCATTAACTGATTAAGCTCTACTTTAAGGTGAGTTAGATTTCTTGCCTCCACTACTTTTGGCTATTTCTCTGACAATGGTTAGAAACTTTGATGGCTAGAAACACTCCTTTGATGGCTAGAGACCTCCTTCTTCTTTCTAGCCTAAATTCATATATGACTAGTTTATACCAACTTGTTCTTGTACCATGTTTTTTCCTTTAGCTTTAAAGGAGGTTTTTCTCCTCCCTGGTGACTTAGCCCCTGATGCATTTGGAGAGAGTAATTGAGTCATCTCACCTTTTTTTTACTAGACTAAACAAGACAAGTGGTTCTAAGCTTCTCTCCTAAGATAGTCTTTCCTGATCATGCTACTTGCTCTTCTTTGCATCTCTTCTAGTTTGATTCATTTTTCTTGAATATGGCAGACAACAATTGTGCACAGTATTCCAGATGAGGTCTCCACAATACTTAGTGTAATGTCACTAATGGTCTCCCATCTCTAGGCAAAACACCTCTCCTGATATATTCTCAGATGATGTTTTCATTTTCAGTGGCTGTATCACATTGATGGTTCATATCCAGCCTATGCTTAACCAAAGCACCCAGGTTTTTTCTGCTCCTCCTCTGTCATTTCTAGATAATAAGCCTTCAGTTTATAACAGAAAGTCTTATTATTGGTCCCCCAGGTCTGTAATTTTGCATTTTGTACTGCAGAACTTCCTCCTATTTCTACTTGGCCAGCCTTCAAAGTCATTCAACTCCATGTCTGATACTCCAGTCTTCCATTACGTGAGTAATGCCTCCTAACTGTGTGCCATCAGTGGATTCCATTAATATTAATTCTTGTGCCCAAGTCACTAATGAAAATGTTAATTCAGATTGCTCCCAAGACCAATTTTTGAGGAACTCCACTAATAGTCCACTTCCATCCCAATAGCTCCCCTTCAGTACAGACCTGTCATCTCTCCCCTCTAGCCAATTCCAATCCACCTTCCAATTCTTGTACCAAGCCCTTCTTCTCCAGTGTAGCTAATACTTTAGAAGCCAAATTACATGACCTAAGAGCCTGAATCCACTTAGGCAGCTTTGAAACTTTTATTCAGTAGCTCAGCAGATTGTCCCTCTTTGCATAACCTGGAACTCATTTCTCTCTTCAGACCACCCCAATTTCAGCTTCCCAGTGAAAGAAGGCCACAGTGCATCTAGCAATTGAGCTGACAACTTGAGAAAAGGTGGCATGTGGAAAAGAGAAAAAACACCTCATGCCCAAGGGGACTTCTGACCCATGCAGTGGAACCAATGTGAGGGGCCTGCCTCTGAGGGACTGGATAGGAATAGCTTACCAGATCCCAGGGAAATAAACTGCACGTGCCAGATACCCCAAGTAACAAAAGTATGAGAAGCATTAAACATAACATTTTAGCCCTGGTCTGGATTTCTGACTGGTGTGAAGCATTTTAATATCAGGAGCCCACTGGGGCAATAATGCTGGGCTGCAAGACTCCAATAAAAAGGCCATTGTTTTATCAGGGTGTTGCATAGCTTTGCAAAGGCTGGTTTGATTTGTTGGAATATCTTTACTGCACATCTCTTCAGGTCTCCAGCCTGTAAGAACCTAGCAATAGTACTCCTGATCCCTTGGTCACAATGGAAGGAAGGAGATCTCATCATCAGCAGCAGGTGGAAAGAAGGATGTAGTGCGCAGCCTATAAGCAAACCTTCCTAAGCCGTGGGAAGATAACATGAGGGGCATGTGTGCACGACACTTTAAAGTAGGTTAAATGCTTTTGCACCACTTTAATGGTGTTGGTGTTTGCACGTGTCGGCAGCATATTGTGCATTAATAGTAGCCATTGTAGGAAATTCGGAGGCGTAATGCACCTTAAATGACTTGGGGTGCAGCAACTAAAATTCCCCCGAGGAGTTTTAGTTTGTTGCCCTGCAGCTGTGGAATGAAGCACCAGGCTCCGTGCAGCTCAGGGGCTCCGCAGAAAGCCTGTGCAGGCAGCCTGGCAGCAGCCAGCCCAAGAAAAGGCAGGCTCTACCCAAGAAAAGCGGCGAGCCTGATCTTTTTTTCCCCTGGAGCCTGCCTGAGCTGTGCGGGGGCCCGGTGCTTCCCTCTGCAGCTGAGATGCCCCTCAGAACCAGCAGAGCTGGGTACCACCGATGCTGCAGAGAGAAACACCAGCCACCCCTGCAGCCCAGGGACTGCTCCACCTGCCAGCAGCTTGCTCGTAAGTAAGTTTGGATGTGTGCACAACATGGGGGTTTAAAGGGTTTAAAGGACCCTAAATTGAAGTGGTGTTTTTAAAAACCCACCGCTTCAATTTAGGGCCCCCATCACATACTGTGAATTAGTCCGCAGACACTCTTGGTGTCCCATGCTGCCTCTCATTCTGGACCCAGAGGCAGCTTCTCCTTACAGCCAAGCCATCTCTCCTTCATTACAGCTACCGAGCCTTTGTGCAAGGTGAAACATCCTCCTTGTACAGGAAATGGAGCCCCTGCTGCATACGCTTTTACAGGGAATTCTAGCCTGTATTTCAACCCCACTTGCCATCTCAGTAATCATATCCTTTCCTCGCACAGAACGTGGGCTGGACTTATGTGACACATTCAGGAGTCACTACATCTCCTTATTGCATGCATTCAGTTAGAAGTGAAGGGAACCAGAAGTCTTACTTACCATTTTCTTAAACTCCTCATCTGTTATATCTTTGAGATTGATCATTACGTTGAAATAGGCACCAAACACTCCAGCTTCTAAAGCTTTAGCTGCCACCTAAAGGCAAATTTAAATTGTACTTAAGAAGACTTAATGTCTATTTTTAATCCCTTCTCCATCAAGCCAGAGCTGCATTTAATTTAAGCCTTTATGGAAAAGCTTTTAATGCTATAAATTGGAATTAAGTTATTTTTAACTTTAATGGTATGACACCAATTTATGCCCACAGAGGGCCTCATGATGTCATTTACCTCTTTCCATCTGTAGATCTTCAAATTTGGAGAGAACATCATTGTTTTAATTTTACAGATGGAGAAACCAAGGCAAAGGGAAGTTATGGTGAAGGTGGAAAGGGGTAACAAGTTTTGGGTAGTGGACCCAGCAAGTATTTAGGCAACTAAAATAAGTGGCCAAGTTTGAAAATGTTGGCTAAGATGACTCACCCAAAATTAAACAAAAAGTCAGTGGCAGCATTTCTGACTCTCATACTGGTACTGTACTCTGGGCCACTGGACCAGGCTGACTCATGTTAGCATGGGGTTTGGGAGAACCTTCGGGGAGCTACTGACATGGAAGATCGAAAGTGTATGTGTGGCTATGCATATGCTTGGGGGTGGGGAGGGGCCAGTTTAATTAGAGCGGTTCTCAGACAGCCGCTCTAATCAAAACAGCTCACTGCCACGTGTATTAAGCCCCTCACATTTTAAAATGGCCACAGGTGCACTTTAACTAAAGCTCATTCCACCAGCTTTAGTTAAAGCACCATGCTGGAGCGTTTGAATTAGAAAGCAGAGCAGACTTGATTAATTGAGTCTGTTCTGACATGTTCTAATTAGAACGTGAACCAGCACATCTAATAAGCAGCCTTTAGTGCCAACACATTTCTCCATCTGCTGGGCACTAGATAACTCAGTAGCCTGCAATATAGGAGACCTTGGTTAAACCCCCTAATCTGCCACAGAGTCTATAGGGGGCTCACACAAGTACTACAGACCATTCTATTTCCTAACAATGGCAGACTCTCACTGTATCCCCTGTTCTTGGGGCTCCAAAGCAGATTTCTTTGAGGCTGCACCAAACTTTTTGAAACACTGCAAAAGATTCCAAGCCCTTTTCTGAGCCCATACCTGAATATCTGATTTACATGCAAGATTCCCATGCCGAGCCATCTCCTTTAAAGTGGGCCACAAGGAATTCACCTTCTCTATCATTGCAAAAGGGACACCTACAGCCTTCTTCAGCCCCTGCTGCATAGCAGCTTCACGCCTGCAAAAGGTAGGTGAACCAGGGGAAAAACATAATCAATGAGTCTAGATCAGGCAAACCGGGCACAACAGTCTGCTGGAGTAACAGAGTATCATAGAAATCAACCTAGCAAAACCAAAAGGCAGACTATGCAAGTTTATATTATTTTACTCACTCAATTAGACTGGCTAGATGGATTTCAGTACATAGAAGTGTACGTCAATCCAAAGTTCACAGTGTCAATATGAGGAAAGATCAATGTAGGACAAACATTCAAAATACAAAATTCTACTCTAAGGAGTCTTCCACACTCTAATCTGGCTCCCTGAGCTCTCTCAGCCCAGGAAAAGGCAGATGTTAGTTTTGCCATATGATACAAAGGTCTCGCATACATATGCACACACACACTTTGGGTGCGTCTACATGTCGCCATATGGCAACTTTGCTATGACACCATGCTTTAGGACTTCCAAAGTAACTGCCTGTACTGTGCTATGCATACAGCGCACGGTTAGATTTCACCTGCACGAAAACAGGGGAGTGCACCTATGGCAACATAGCTGTTGATCATGTGCAGATCCACATGATCGTTACACTGCTGTAGCGCCCTGTATGGCAACATAGCACATCAGTATGTCACCATAGGATGATGTGTAGACGCACCCTTTAAGACATAACCAAAGCCTGTGGGAGCCAAATTCTAGTTCTTCTATAGATTTCAGTAGGTTTGATTCACGACTTCTCACAATACCCACTTTTCTCTTTCTTCAGGGGTGTTCTTAGGCAGCTTCATCGCATCCTGTAGACAGACAAACAAAGTACATTGAAGCAGAGGATGGCAGAGCTGGTTGGTGGGTATAGGAAGCCTAGTTCCGATGCACTACAGTGCCTCACACACCTTGAACCTCTGGCCTTTCTCAAGGGCTTAAGCTCAGGCCGAATCTCTCTGCATGAAGGGTAGGAATGGTTGGATGAGGTCTAGGCATTTGAAGATAAAGCACTCTGTAGTGCCATACCCCACCTTCAATGCTGTAGGGTCATCTGCAACACTGGCACAAATTAGAGCAGCCTGACAGCTGCTCTGAGTCACATAAAGGCTGGGGCTCATACTCATCCTTTAAATGAGGACAGTGCAACTGTCCTACTGATGCTTCCTTCTCCTCTCTCCTATGCTATCAGTAGCTCTGGTGCAGGACATACTTTGCTCCATGGGAAGTGTGACTACACTGTTTCCTGCCTTTACTGACTGTTTACTTTGATGAACGCACATTTCACCCTACTCCCCTCATCCCCAACCCCCTTGGCAAACTGATCTCACAGGGTTGGGGCTGCAGTAGAAGCCTGGCTAGGCAAGAAAGAGAGAACTGGAAAGACCAGCTGTGTAATGACTGCAAACTGCCAGAAAACATTAGAGGCAACCCTGCCACTCCCATTGCCTTTGGCACTGGCACTCAAAGCAAAGTTTGGAGTCAGAGCTGGCAGGACCATACAGGCCACAGAGGGGTTCACCTAAGGCAGCAAATTGAAGAGGATGGCAAAAATGCAGCTGCCCTTTGCTTCACAACAGGCCCTGGCAGATGCAGACAGCTGGAAGCAGGCAGGTGTTAGGTGGTGGATGGGGACAGTGCCAAGGGCAGTGGTGTGGGGCTTCAACCCATCTGCTTGTTTCAGGCCCTGGCCATGCCCTGTGCCTGGGCATACTGATGGGGGAGTCTGCAGGGAACTGCCTCCATCTCCATACGACAGGGTGCAGCCAGGAGTGGGAACCCCATGAGTAAGGAGGTACTTGTGGCGAGCCCCACATGCACGCGCCGGCTCAGTCTGGGTGGAGGAGCCACAGCACAGTCCAGAGTAGCAGCCAGCAGGGTGCACTGGGGGAAGGGGAGCCTGGCCCACCCTGACATGGAGCCTGCAGGGCACCCAGCTGGGCATGCCCACACCTGCCCAGCTGTGTGGGGTGAAAAGCTGGGGTGCTGAAGCTATCGGGGTGCCTGGCTCCCTGCCTGGACTCTGGCTCCCTTACCGGAGTAAGCAGGGCCTCTGCAGGTAGCAGAGCAGGAGGGGCTGGTACTGGCACTGCTGCAGAGGATTTGGGGCAGGGCAGGCAGGACAGTCAGTCAGGAGCATTTTGCCCTGGTAGCAAAAATGCTTTCCCAGAGAGCATTGGCCAGGGCGTGGGAGCACTGCGGCCACTTTTCAGTTGCTGCGCTTGACTGTGGGGGACACCCCCCTCCGTTGTTGAGATTGGCCATGGGGGGACCTCCGCCCCAGTTGCTGACTGGTCACTGGGGGGGCATGTGACCCCCCTGACTAAGGTGGCACCAGTCACCCATGGCTTCACTGGCTTCAGCTGAGCTGCAGGAATCTGTATTAGCTGAGCATCTGGCTCACTGTGTTTGTTATGGTGCCTCTCTGGCTCTATTATTAATACTAATGTGAAAACAGAAACAGGAAGCAATGACTATGTAGACGTTAACAGGCTTGTGCTGTGGCAATGTTTTTACTGGCCTCCATCCAGCTGCCAGAATTTAGCAGAGAGATTGGCAGTATCAGTCACCCACTGAGGCAGGGATAAGTTGGTGTCCTACCCCGGATAACCAATAAGGCAGCGAAAATTTTGCAAAGAATCCCAGATGATATCCTCCC